CCCTACGGGACAAACGTTTTAGCCAGGCGGACAGTAGATGAAAAATGAGTCAGTAAAGTCTAACAATAGTGTGTTAGCTTGCGAGTAGTGCTAAGGAGAAAATGTGTGGGGAAAGGGGGACGGAAGGTATGGGGGTGATTTCCATTTGAAATAGGGAGGTCAGAGAAGCCTCCCTGGTGAGGTGATGTTTGAGGCCTTTAACTGAAGGAGGTGAGGGAGGGAAACATTCCAGGCAGAGGGACCCTCAGGAAAGGCCCTGAGATAGGAAAGGCCTGGAATCTTTGAGGAACAGCAACGCAGCCAGTGTGGCTTGAGCAGAGGTGGGGTGGGGAGGGGAGATGGGTGGGAGGTATGGACTCTCTAGGTTATGGTGGGGATTTGGTTTTGTTTCATTTTATGTTTTTCATTCTGTTTGCAATAAGAAGTACAGACAACCTCATATTTGTCTCCCACCCGATGTCAACGTTTATCACTATAAAGCCCCGCCACTCTTCCTCCTCTGCCTGGAGACGTGCCCTCCCCCAACCCAGGATGCCCTCACTGTGGACAGCACCCTCATCCTTGGAAGCCTCTGAACTCCCATAGGAGGCTCCCTGAACCATCTCTTTCCTATCTCAGGGGGTACCCTGGGCATCCTCAGTCCTGGGACCCACTGTGCCCCGTGTGTCCCCTGGGCTCCCCTGCGCAGGAGGAGGTGGGGGACAGTGAGTAGGTCCAGTTGCCAAGTGTATCCATCTGTCCCCCCACAGGGCCTGGGGGTACGAGCCTTAAACTTGTTCTTTGGAGCCCTGGCCATCTTCCACCTGGCCTACCTGGGCTCCCTGTTTGATGTCGATGTGGACGACACCACAGAGGAGCAGGTGAGGGGGGGCCCTGGGCTGGGTGGTTAACCAAGGGTGGAGCTACCTGCCAGGGGGAAACCATGAGGACAAATGCGGGGAAGCTGAGGCCTGAGCTGCTCAGACTGTGCTGCTTCGCGTGGGCCTCCAGTCTTCCTCCATCCTTTCCCGTAGTCCCTCCGCTTGAGTCACACTGTTGGGTCTTTTATTTGGGTGAAGTGTGCAAGATATGTTTATTTATTTTACTTCTAAAATTCATTTTAGGCTAGGCACAGTGGCTCACGCCTGTAATCCCAGCACTTTGGGAGGCCAAAGCAGGAGGATCACTTGAGGTCAGCAGTTCAAGACCAGCTTGGCCAAGCTGGTGAAACCCCATCTCTACTAAAAATATAAGAAATTAGCCAGCCATGGTGGCACATGCCTGTAATTCCAGCTACTCAGGAGGCTGAGGCAGGAGATCGCTTGAACCCGGAAGCCAGAGGTTGCAATGAGCTGAGATCATGCCATTGTACTCCAGCCTGGGCCACAGAGCAAGACTCTGTCTCAAAAAAAAAAAAAAAAAAAAAAATTCATTTTATAGAGATGGAGTGGAAAATCCAGGTTTTACTTTTGTTAATTATTTCACTTCATTATTGTTTAGGTAGAATTTTCAATACTTCTTAATTTTTTTTTGAGACAAAGTCTGTCACCCAGGCTAAAGTGCAGTGGTGTGATCACAGCTGACTGCAGCCTCACATTCCTGGGCTCAAGCCATCCTTCTGCTTCAGCCTCCTGAGTAACTGGGACTACAGGTGCACGCCACTAAGCCCAGCTAATTTTTTAAAATTCTTTTGTAGAGACAGGGTCTCCCGACGTTGCCCAGGCTGATCTCGAACTCCTAGGCTCAAGCAGTCCCCTCACCTCAACCTCCCAAAGTGCCAGGATAACAGACAGGAGCACCCTGTTTTATTTAATTTATTTAAAAAATATTTTACTTAGGTCGAGTATACAAACCCTGGATTCTGCACTTTAAAATTTTTCATTAAAATGTCTGCATTATTTTTGTTCATGTTGAGTATGCAAATTCCAGATTTTACTCCTTTTTAAATTAACAACAACTTTAAAATAACATTTATTCATATGGCTCTTGCAGAATCCAGGCTTTTGCTTCTCTTTTAGTTAGTTTTTTCAGTCTAAAACAAAACTTCATGTTTTTTGACATTAAAAAAATTTTAATCCAGATTAAGTGTGCAAAATCTGGGTT